TACATTTTTTTTTTTAAAAAAAAAAGTGGGTTACACTCTTATCGACGCGTCCTATAAGTATAAGTTTATCATGTATTTATTAGACTCCAAGATATAATCTTCGTAAGAATGTTAACGCACCGCAGCTATATACTTCAGTTCCTAAACCTTCCAAGGTACCATTATTCGCTAACCAAATTTGTTCTTGGGAACTATTTCTAACGCGAATTAATTTGATTGCTTCTTGTTCAGACATCACGTGACTCACCTCATAAAATTAGATATGTAGAAAAATCCTCCTCTAAAACTTATAGAAGAATGGCTTCGCGTAACCACCTCGGCAGGAGAACTTATGGTGGTCGTATTTATGATTCTGAACATGGTACAACTTGTCATCAATGTCGTCAAAAAACAATTGAAGATAAGGTTCAATGTACCGTAAGTATTACCACGTTAAATGAAGGATTTAAATTGTTTTTTCACTTAGAATTTTTATCACAAAAAAAAAAATTTATACATTTTCTATAATAGAATGTTCTTCAAGATGGATCGTTATGTAAAGTAATGATGGATGAGCGATGTTTGGTCGGCAGGATTGATAAGAGCGTCAGTATTAAAATCCCAAAAGTACAAAAATCATTATTATTTAAAACCAATTCAAACGGGATATCCAAAAGATGACGATTTACGATTTGTGAAAACATATCTTCCGGAAAAGTTTAATAGTTTAATTAAACTTGAGTCATTGTATAAATACGAGAAAGCGGTATCACCCCATTTAGCGATTAATAATCCGATACCTAAAGATGAAGATGTATTGAATAAAATAAAAGGATCTATATCGGAATCTTATAATGAATCATTGAAAGATGGAGGGAGGTTATTTTTGGAAACAGCTGGCGGCGTAAATAGTCCGATCATGTCAGGTAAATGTAAAGAGTACGTGAATTGAATCATCACTCGGTCCAAAACATCATCTAATCATTTGTTATGCGAGATTAGGTACCATACAATCGGAGTTTTATCGAGCATTGAGGTTACCGATAATTTTAGTGGGAGATAGTAATTTAGGGGGAATAAGTACGACAATATCATCATATGAATCTTTAACACTGAGAGGATATGACATTCCAACCTTACTATTATTTAATAATGAAAGATATAATAATCATTTATTCATTGAAAAATATTTTAATGAGAATCAAAATTCGTCTATTATTACGCCTAAAATATTTCCCATTTCATTACCACCACCAAAATCGGAAAATGATTTATCAGATGTCAAAGGGTTAGAGGAATATTTTGATTCAAATGATGAAAATTTTAAAGCCATAATTAGTACATTGGAGGAATGGCATGACAATAGATTTAATAGACTGGATGAAATGGAGGAGAAAGCCAAAGAAATAGTTTGGTGGCCATTCACCCAACACGATAAAGTTGATGGGGTTAACGTGATTGATTCCGCGTATAAAGATTTATTAATAAGTTACAAGGACGATTCTAATCTAGGAGAGACATTTGATGGGTCCGCAAGTTGGTGGACGCAAGGGTTGGGTCATGGGAATTCTAAATTAACATTAACGGCATCGTATGCATCAGGTAGATACGGTCACATATTATTTCCCGAATCGATTCATGAACCTTCTTTATCATTATCGGAATCTTTGCTTGATGGGGTAGGGAAAAATTGGGCCAACAGGGTATTTTATTCTGATAATGGGAG